AGCAGGAATCCAACGTCTCCCCGCAAATATCCAGTGTTTGCCACTGTGCCATGAAGTAGGTCCGTGACGCAGGAAGCCAGGGTATCCAGAGTCCGAGGTGGTGGGACCCTCGTGTGTGAGGCCCCCAGACACCAAGACAGCTCCCAGCTGCTCCCACCCCGACCCTGCCCTCTGCAGCAACCTGAGGGCCCTGGTAGTGAAGGACAGGAGTCGCCCGGCCTTGTCCAAAAGCTGCCACCGAAGGCCGCGTGACCGACCCACTCCCAGCTCCGCTGTGAACCTCAGCTCTCCTGCCTCTGCAGTGGAGGCTTTGATTGGATACCCTCTAAATTGTCAGTAACTGATTTTCTAAGACTCCGATTGCTTTGGCCTTCAGTCTATCCAGCCTTCTTCGGATCCAACACACTTCTAGCCAGAACAGGAGCTCCCCAGAGAGAGGGGTGTTCTGCTTGGTGTGCTTGGTGTGCTGCTGTCACCCCGTGCTGAGAACCTTGCTCACACACAGGCCCAGGCCAGCTGTGTTTGCATCCCCTGGAAGCTGGTTAGAAATGCGGGCTCTTGGGCCTGCCTGAAGACCTGCTGATCGGGACCAGCATTTTAGTAAGACTCACCGCCCAGCGCAGTGCCTGTTTTAGTAAGCAGTAGTAGCGTTTTCAGTGCACTGAAGCTATCCTTGCAGTTACATGACAGCCACTCTGGCCACTATCCTCCCCTTATTCCCGGGGCGGCATTGTCCCACTGCTCTGGTAGAGGATAGAGGAGAGGGGACAAGCTAAAAGCCAGCGAACAGTGTAGTGTCCAGGAAAAGAGACAAAGGAAGCCCGGGGTTTCTCGAGCTCGGCAGGGCCGGTGATCCTGTCTGTCGAGCCGTCCTGTCCAATCCAGGGTGCTGGGCACAGATGTTAGCAGTCCCCCCCCCCCCATCTGTGACAGCAGTAGTGCCTCGAGACATTGCTAGATGCACCTGGAGCACCAAGCACTGAAGCCGCCCTGGAGGAGACCCGGAGGTTTCGGCTCTGTCTGTGAGGAGCGTGCCTAGGAGACGGAGTTCTCTTTTCCCAGTAGGGGAGCCAAGAACCTGCGGCTTTCCAATAGCCTCCTTGATGTGGAGGGCTACCTGGGGAGGGTGTCCTACTGCTAAGGAAGTCATATTTATTCTGGGGCCATGGTGCTGTCCACAGTCGGAATGGAAGCCAGCCTAAATCCGTGACTCACAGCCCCCTCCTGGCTTTTATTTTTCTGGGGGAGGGAGAGGTTTTTGCTATAGGGCGCGTGCACTCACTAGACAGAGACAGAGAGACAGAAAGCAAGAAATCACCCCCCAGGGGGGATGGTCACGCCGCAATCCCTTCTCCTCCATTCTCCTTTTGGGATCGTGGGCACACACGCACACTCACCCGTTGTGAGTTTTAAGCCACCAGGTCCGGGACTCAAACCAGGTCGACTACATGGGAGTCCAGCCACATAGCCATTACGCTAACTGCTGGTCCCCCCTCCTGACTTTAATCTCCCTCCTCAAGGACCAACAGTGGCTTTGACCCCCATGTTTCTACAGGCTGAGGAGTCCGACCACCCTGAGCCATCAGTACTGACATCCAGGGCCTGGTGAATGCAGACCTTCGGTGAATGGGAGCTAGGCATTTTCCTATTGTTATTCCAAGTTCAGAATTGATGTATTCGAGTTGTATTTATAGAGGGACCCCCTTGTGTCAGCCACTAGACTAACTCCTAGGGATACGGGAGACAGAGCAGACACAGTCTCCATCCTCAAGAAAGCTTATGGTCCAATGGGAGTGAACAGGAATCGAACAACCCCATGACTAAGCCCACGTTGGCGGCTGTGATGCCCTGAAGGCGCTGCGCTGCGTGCACTGCGCTGCATGCACTGACAGGCGGCAGCTTCGTCGCCAAGCTAGTGAAGGTAAGCTCTCACCCCTCTCTCCCCCAGGCCCCTTCCAACACCTAGAAGGGGCCCTCCTCATGTGGAGATCCAGTTTCAAATTCAGAATTTTTATTATTATTCTGAAAAAGAACCTTCAAAATCGTATAGACTCCATAAACGGCTTTGTGCTGATGAGGGTATAGACAGCGGGAAAGCAACCATGGATCTGAGACCTGAAAGGTACGTTCACAAGACTTGGGGGTAGGTGGAGGCAACTGGCTGGCGTGGAGAACCGATGGCACGGACAAAGGCCCTGGGGCAGGAGGAGGCAAAGAGCAGCCTACTGGGCTGGATTCACCCTCACCTCCTCAAGAAGGGGCTTACTATGCAGCCGTCACCCCAGCAGATGTCCTTGCACGCCATTGTCACCTTGTCCAGTGACAGCACAGGCTCAGGGCACAGGCCCAGCAGGCTCAGACGCTGCCTTTCTCCCTGCATCATGATGCTCTCACTGAGCGGAACATCAATTTCTGGAGACCAGCAGATGGCACTCCCACGTAGTCAACTGTGGTTCGAGTCCCGGACCCAGCAGCTTAAAACTCCCACTGGGCGCACGTGCATGTGTGCCCAAAATCCCAAGAGGAGAATGGAAGCAAAGGGATTGCAGTGTGACCATCCTCCAGGGGGTGGGGGTGGGGGGGTGATTTCTCACTTTCTCTCTTTCTCTCTCTCTCTCTCGCTCTCTCTCTCTCTCTGGTGAGCACACTTGCCCTATAGTGAAAATCTCTCTCTGGAAAAAAAAAATTACACATCAATTTCTGAACCTTTCTGAGCCTCTCTTTAAAATAAAGCAACAACATAACAAAACCTACTTTATTAAAAATAGATATATAAGCATACTCACACACACACGTATATCTTAATTTCTGTGCCCTCGTTTTTTCTTCTTGATTCATGCAGCCTCCCTCGTTTTCAGTACGAGAGAAAACACGTATCCCCACTCCGCTCCTGATTTATTGCCTTGACGCTGACCTGCACGCCTGATTCCACATTCCTCTCCATTCCCTCGGGTCTGCTTTGCATCGAGTTTGCCAGGGTGTTGTGTTTATTTTGCAAGAACAGAGAAACAGTGGTTTGGGCTCCTGAGTAAATAGAATTTCCAGCCCTAAATAAAGGCCCCCTGTGAGAGCCCACGCTGCCCAGTGGAGAGGGCCCAGTGGAGAGGCACTCCGTATCCTCACCCGAAGGGAGGATTTTTCATTTATAACAGCGCCTGTGTCACTTGGGATGGAATGACGTGAAATCCCATTTTAAACCGATAATGCTCTGGATTTGCAAGGTACATTTGGTAATTGAGTTAATACATGAATATGAATTTCCTTATCCCCATCCTCACGCTTCCTCCGCTAACAATGTCTGCCCTCCCTTTACGCAAGGGTCTCCATGCGTAGGTTGCATTCGTTTTCAGTCATGAGGTTATTTTCTAGGACCAAAACTCACTATTACAGATGTACAGTGTGACTAATAAGCAATCTATAATAATACACCTAGGCACAAGGCTTGGAATATTTTAGTATTAATAAAATCACGTCCAAAAGGATTGTACAGAGCACCACAGACAGAACTAGAAAAGGACCCTAAAGTCCATCTGGTTCCACATACCCAAAGTATTGAACACTCAAGTCCCACAAGTGGACCAGAGTTTTGCTATTAGAAGCAACAATAATAAAGTGTTCTGTGGCCAAATCTGAGCAGTCCTCACGTTTTTTTCCTGCTGTTAGAAGTCCATAATGTGGGGACCAGCAGTTAGCGTAATGGCTATGTCGCTGGACTCCCATGTAGTCGACCGCGGTTCGTGTCCCGGACCCGGTGGCTTAAAACTCACGCCGGGCTCGTGTGCGTGCGTGCCCAAGATCCCGAGAGGAGAATGGAGGAGAAGGGATTGCGGCGTGACCATCCCCCCTGGGGGGTGATTTCTCGCTTTCTGTCTCTATGTCTCTCTCTGTCTGTCTGGCGAGCGCATGCGCCCTATAGTGAAAATCTCTCCAAAAAAAAAAAAAAACACGCCGGGTACGTGTGCATTGAGTGCCCAAGATCCTGAGAGGAGAACGTAGGAGAAGGGATTGCGGCGTGGCCATCCCCCCTGGGGGTGATTTCTCATTTTCTGTCTCTGTTTCTCTCTCTCTTTCTGGGGAGCGCACGTGCCCTATAACAAAAACGTTTCCAAAAAAAAAGCCATAATGTGTATCCGCATGGCCTTCTATCCTACCTTCTGAATGTCCCTTATATGCAGCTATGTTCTCTGTCCCTCCT